CGCAAGACTGAGTGAGGATCCGTCCATCCGGATCCTCCTATTGGAAGCCGGAGGAAGGTAAGGCTGGCCTCTTAGTGCGGTTTACCGGTATTGAATCGCTCGTTCAAAGCGGGAGCGCGCTTTTAGAGAGCCGCATACCGTCAGCCTTTGGCAAGCTGTTCCTGACAAGGCATGTGTATGGGTTCCGAACTGAACCACAGGTACATGCGAAAGGCCAGAAACGCTTCTTTCCACGAGGTCGGTCAATGCACTCCATTTGTCCTGTATGTACAAGGTTATTGACGCTTTGGTAGCCAAACTTCTAGGTGGATGTGCGTACTGTTTTGTTAATTACGGTCGTTATATTGACTCCCCTAAGGCTCTTCCATCAATGCGCAAATGGCCCAATACGGCGCACCAGGGGATTTCGACCAATGGGCAGAGGTCACAGGCGACGATTCGTGGTCGTGGAAGAATTTGCGGCGGTATAAAACGTAGAGCATGATCTTATAAATCTTTCTTACTCTTCATTCCAGCTATTTCACCAAGTTCGAAAAGTATACACCCGATGTAGCGTATCCCTTGGTGGATGCCTCGGAACGAGGCTCCGCCGGGCCCGTCCGCGTGGGCTACTTCAATACCGTCTCCGCACATTCCAAGGCATTCTTGACAGCTTGTGCCCAAGTGGGTATCCCGCTCGTTCCAGACTTCAACGGATCCAAGGGTCCGATCGGTGCAAGCAGAGTAAGTGGTTTTACAACACTCTGTGTCGCAATAAGTTATTGACCCCGTCCAGATCAGTACGTTGCATACTCCCGTGGTTCATTAGCGTCTCACGAAGTTACAGTGACCTATGTGGACGACAAGAGGGAGAGGGTCTCGTCGGAGACAGCGTACCTTACAAATGACGTACTGGCCCGGCCTAATCTCAAGGTGGCCATCCACGCTCAAGTAACTCGCGTCATTTTCGAGAAAGTCAATGGAGAAACCCGCGCGGTCGGTGTCGAGTTTGCGAAAGCGGTAAATGGCCCCCGTTACCAAGCCCGTGCTCGGAAAGAGGTCGTCCTTTCGTGGGTATTGATGCGGCTCAAGTTTCTTTCCCCTGACCAGACTCGTCTCGTCTAGCGCAGGCGCCATCCATTCTCCACACGTAAGCATGCTGCTTAACTCGGTGGTATCTTACATTGGAGATTATATAGATCCTTATGCTGTCAGGTGTCGGGCCTGCACAGCAGCTGCAACAACACGGAATTCCGGTGATCCACGATCTCCCAGGCGTCGGAGCGAACCTCGTCGACCATCCAGTTGTCGATCTCTATCTGAAAGACAAGCTCAACGATTCAGTGAAGATCTTGAAGCCAAAGTCGGTCTCGGAAGTGCTGTCGTTCACTCGGGCCCTCTTCCAGTACCAGCTCTTCGGCACGGGAAAAATGGCTTCCAATGTTAATAATTTCGTGATATAACACTTCGTGGCGCTTACATATCGTCCAGTTTGGTGAATCTGCTGCATTTATCCGGTCGGACGACCCAGTGCTGTTCCCCAAGAGCCAATTTCCACAGGAGCTCGAGGACAGTACATCGGGGCCTGCAAGTCCGGATCTAGAAATATTCTGCAATGCTATGGCGTACAAGGTGGGTCCTGAGGCATCCTTCATATTTCCATGCTCAAGTAGCATTGACTAGGACCACGGGGCGATCACATTCGACATGCATACATACGGCTTGCACTGCTACTTGGTCCGGCAAGTGGCCGCAATCGACCCCGTAGTTTGAGACTAACACAGCGACAGTCCCACGAGCCGAGGCGCGGTCCTATTGAAGTCTGCGGATCCGTGGGCTTTACCCAGCATCAACCCAAAGTAAGTCTTGAGGTTAATGCACACTCGCCAGCTTACCGCTGTTCCAGCTACCTCCAGAGCCCGGACGACCTCGAGAAGCTGGTCCGCGGGTTCCGCATTCTGCTGAAGATCGCGCACGCACAGGCTATGGACGCGTACGTCGACCACAGCAACACTCACCCTGACCTCGACCACGCCACGCACCTCAAGACGGACGACGAGATCCGCGAGATTGTGCGCGAGCGCGTCGAGACGGTGTACCACCCGACCAGCACGTGCCGGATGGCGCCTGCGGAGCAGAATGGAGTCGTTGACGCGCGGCTGCGCGTGTACGGGATCCAGGGACTGCGCGTGTGCGATGCGTCGATCTTCCCGTGGATCGTATCAGGTCACACGGTGAGTTTGTCTTGCGATGTGATGTGGTCTCGGGCTTATACTATTCTCATCAGGCTGGTGCATGCTATGCGATTGGAGAGAAGCTCGCTGAGGAGATGAAAGCGGAGCTCAACGCCTCCAAGTACTGACAGGCCTGGACGTATTCTTGTCAGTTTGCTTACGGTGCCCAGAGAAGACTGCCTGTACTTGACTTTTTATCACCATCTCTGGAGTTTTTATTATTATTGGAGACTCGCCGCATTGTTGGCCTCATGGAAGGCAACAATGTTCTCGCTCCTGTAGCTACGTTCGCTCTAAGGAATTAAACCGGGGATGGAAAAAATTGGGGTATCGCCAGTGGGAGTTCTATCCGTACATACTACACGAATTAAGTTATGTGATAAAGTAGGCATTATACACCAACCCATAATGAAACCAGAAGGGATGCGCTACAGGCGAAATTAAAAGGGAAAGAAATACGAAGATAGAAAGAAGGAAAGAGAGAAAGCCCGTCAGTCCGCCATGCCAAACCGAAGCGCCTTCCCGAGCGGGCTCTTGTCCGGCCGATGCAGGACCTTCTGCCCATTGTGCGGTGAAAGCGGGGAGCGCTGCACTGGTGTCGGCTTGCGATCCGGTGACTAGACCGTCATTGTGTCAACCATCTCCTGAGTAGAACATCCTAAGCATACCTTGAAGGCTGAGCCTCCGGGGCTGCCACCGCGATCGGCCACTGCCACGAAGGATTCGCGGGCGGAATAGAGCCTGCGTTTCTTGAACACAGGCTGGGGCGAGGGCTCAAGCTATACCCAGCGAAGCTATTCAACATTGGCAAGACCATGAGCCGGGGAAAGCGTACGTCAGGCGGAAAGCCGTCGGCCACCGTCGCCAGCTCGAACCCGGACCTGAGCTTAAAATCGCCTGCAGAGTAGGTGGGGCCCTGCATATCCAATAGAAATCATTGGCGCCAATACAGTGAGGTGATGCATACGGGCTTTAACCTAAGGTCCAGATGTTTCCACGGGGAGACAGGAGGCGCCGCAAGCTAGCAGTCTCGTCAGTCAGTGTCCAACGTCCATATACTATTACGAAGGGACAGCCGTACCTTTTCGAGAAAGTCGTGATTATGTTCTGTACTCCCAGGACTAAAGGATAGTGGGGGAGAATCGTCGAGCGTCCCAACCTGTATGAGTGAGGATAAACGTGTGGCAGGCAAAACGGCGAAAAACCGCATACCAGGGCAAGAAAGGACGGCTCCGATTCGTCGTCCTGTATTTGTAAAAAAGCTGATGACGAGTCGTGGAGTGGCCAGCTTACCGTCAGGTCATCCCGATCCCGCTCGGCAGTCGTCGCGGTCTTGACGCCTGAAACGGATTCTCGTCCTCCATCTGACTCGGAATCGGTGTCCGAGTCAGACTCATGCCTGTCGGTCTTATATAGGATCGAACCGGACGGTCGGGGTGAATAAAGATATTTGATACTCACGATACTTCGCGCGTTCATGAGGAACTGAATGTCTATACGAAATGAGTATCGTACTACATGACTCTGAACATGAGACAACAGACCCGCGGGGATCTTCTTCTGGCTGGACGATTGGGTCCTGGGTGGGCCCACACTACGCGTCCGGTTAGTCATCTCGGAGAATTTAAAATGACACCAAACTTACGACGCATCGTAGGCGACTCTCGCGACCTCGAGCAGTGGTTTAAAGAAAGGATGGAAAAGTTCGGTGACCAGCTGCGAGTTGCAGTTACATTCAATCCACTTGAGACCCACCAAGGCCTCAAAGCCGCCGTCGACCCGATCAATTTCGGCCTTCTCGACCCCATTATCGAGGAGTCCTGCGTCAATTTTCCTCATAACCACCTTGAGCACAGCGTCAGATCGGACGGAGTTCTCGAGTATCTAAGCCATGTTTACGTCATTCACGACGCATGTCAGAAGGACACTTGCCTTGGAAAAATTTACGGGTCTTTCGCCGCAGAGGTAAGGAAGTGTCATGGTGAAGATGGCATGCTGCAGGACTGTCTTGCCCGTGCGACAGTAGTCCTCGCGGCAGACAGAAGTTGAGTTGGAAAGGAAGATACGCGCGGAAGATTCTGTAAAAACAGGCCAAGAGGACGCCTGCAGATCGAGTAAACAGCAGGGAGGTCGATACTCCGGAAGGTTGACGTGGCGAAGGACGGCGGCCATCGACTTGCTGGTGCAGTTTGAGTTTTGGGGCGGAAGCTTTCTTAGTCATGGAGAGATGCGGTGTGGGCGACGACGCAAAGAAAGTTACTCTAGAGGATGCGGTTACGGGGAGGACGAGGAGAGGTGACGCGATGGAGGAAGAAGACAAGAAACAATGCGGTTACGTAACTCGCGTCGAAGGGTGATTGGCGTCCTGCACTGCCGCTGACCGTAATCTACCGTAATCAGGTCCCATGGGCGCAAATCCTGATATCTCCGGCGGGATCAGATTGCCTCACGGATAAGCCGCGTTAAATTCTCAGAAATTGCTCGAGGTCGAAGTAGGCCCGCAGGTGGCCACAGGCTGGTGTGGCTAGTGCATATCTTTGTTCGGTTCTATGCGAGGGTGATACAGAGTACTTGAAGAGCTCAAAAAACTCAATGGAAAGACTCTCGGACAGGAGGTTCTGCTATCGCTCTAGCCTGGGTAAGCATTGCTGTAGAAATGAAGTCACAAGTGTGTAGTTCAGTAGTTCAATAGTAGCACAGATACTTGGAGTAATTAAAATTTGTACGGAGGCCTGGTGAGCTAATCTAGCCAAGCATATATGCCACCAAATCCCACTGTTCGTTGTGTCTGCTGTAGTTCAGTGGTTAGAATGGAGGGTCCAAAGCTAGCGTGGCGGACTCAGGTCGGCGGTTCGAATCCGTCCAGCAGCACAAAAATGGGAGCCGGGTTCCGCGCTGTGACGCCGCCCCCGGTCAAACCCGGATGCGATCTCCCTCCGCATAATCCGAGTTTCATTCAAAGGGAATCACTTTTTTTCCCTCTATTTTTTTTGGAGCGAGCACTTATTCAGTGTCAGGCCTAAGAGTCGGTTTTGTTGAATGCTTCTCATGAGCAACCTTCTGGGACGATTAGTTGTCGACCGACCATTCCAGCAGGCGCAAGTACCCCTGCCCGCCAAGATCACTCAAGTTGTTCATCCAGGACTCCACGGCGCTCCCAATAAGTTCAACAAGCTCAGAGAACATATTGAACTATTTTGAAGGACGTAACTGTCGGTTTTTCGCCAAGGGTACCAGTGAACGCGAACCAACATTCTGCCATGCGGATCGTTGGACAACCTAGTAAGAGAAGTTTAATCCGAGCGCAGAGAAAAATGGAAAACCTGAATTGAAAGCCTCGTCATGATCACGATTATGAGCCTCCGTAACGGTAGTAGGACTGAGCTCAGTTCAATACTTCTAGCTTATTACTGGTGGGGCATTGAAAATGCAGTGCGGCGGCAGGGATGGATGCACAGGTGAGAGAAGTCCGTTTTCTCTCAACTCCGTATAGCTGCGTAGTAGGACCCATGCAATTCACGCAAGCATCTTCTTTATTATAATATGAGGGGGGGGTATAACTATGATGGGCCAGACCTCCGGCATCCTCAGGATCATACCCGAAAACTCGGTATGATTGGATGCCGAGCCGGGGCGAGAACGTCGAGAAAGGCCCTTTAGTGCCGAGGCACCGGGTAGGACTCATGCCGGGCCGGGGATGACTCGGAAGCTAAGACAGTGAGCCGAGAAAAGCCCTTTCGTGCCGAGGCACCGGGGAGGACTGGTGCCGGGGCGTCAGCCACGGCATCTGACCCGGCCCGGCCCTCGGGAGCTTGGCGGGGTGGAGAACTCGAGCTAGAGAACACGGAACTGAGGGCAAAACCTCCACGGGACAGAATTCGGCATGCTGAGTAGAACTCTGAAGAACACTGATGATAATAAAGGATCTAAGTTGTATACTGTGAAGTACTAAATAAATATGTCTTGGTACTTCCCCGTCAATCTATCGATGGGCTTACACAGTATCTGACCCGGCCCGACCGTCGAAAACACGGGTGCTTACCCCGGCCAAGACTCACACCGAGACCTCACGGGAACTCGGCAGGACTCAGCACACACACTGACCCACGGGAACTTAGCAGGACTCAAGAAGGCGGGAAAATGCGCTGGCCGGGACTTAGGCTGAAACCTCCATTGAAGAGCGGCAGGATTGGGTAGAACTCGGAAGCCCGCCGGGATGAGAACAAAAAAGTGTATATTGTGAAGTACTACATAAATTTGTCTCGCTACTTCTGGGTGCTTGCCCCAGCCAAGACTCACACCGAGACCTCCACGGACCTCAGCAGGACTCGCCACACTAGGTAGAACTCGGAAGCACCCTGACCCACAGGAACTTAGCAGGACTCAAAAACGGGGCAAGAATGGGGGAGCTTGCACCGGGACTTAGCCCGAGACCTCCAACACGGGGGCTCGACAGAACTCAGCACTGGTACAACTCGGAAGCACGATGGGAAGTGTATATCATGAAGTGCTACATAAATTTGTCTTGCTACTTCCCCGTCAAATTTTTGACGGGCTTACACTAGTCTTTACTATAATAAAAAGTGGTCGATAACGAACATCAAAGAATGTTCGAAATCGCACGCCCACGGTCACGCCCCATGCCGAGCCAGGTCGAGAACGCGCCGAGCCGAGCTGCGAGACGAGCCCCGACAGTTGGAACATGCCGCGGCAGGGCCGAGCCGGGCCCAAAGAAGCCGAAAATGGGACGGGAAGGCGAGAAGAGCTTCGAGACTTGCACCGAGCAAGAGGCCGACCGGAATGTACATCAGATGTCGGAGACCATACGGGTCCGGCACCTGGGCCGAGGCACAGGGTGGCTGGCGAGCATGCTGTTGCCGACGGCGGTCAGCTCAACCTCATGCCGAGCAGACCCGATCATGCCGAGCTTGAAGCTGTCGAGCCTCACCTCTTCTTCAAGTTCTCCTTGCAGATGCTGGGTGGGATTCAAACCCCAGATGGAGAGACACAGTACTCAGGGCCTGAGGGTGATATAATTGATAAAAGGAACAAAAAAATGAGGGTGGAAATGCAATAGAAATGGGTAAGCTGGGGGGAAAAACAAAAAGCCCAAGAGAAGGGGATGATCCAAGGAATAAGAGAAAAGGGTCAGGTCAGATAGGGCCTTGATTAGTGCAGTCTGATAGCTTGCCGAGGAATTTTTTAAGAGAACTGGCTCACGGCAAGAGGGAGGAGGGAAGGGGATGAGCAGAAAAATGGGAGAAAAGGGTCAGAGACAGGGCTCGATACTGATGGCAGCGCGCGATACCTCGGACGATAGCTAGCGGAGTTTAAATTATCGGCTGCTCGGCAAATCACGCTGCTGGCGGTTGCGCCGTCCGATGTAGTATACTCAGTACTGTACAGTGTATGTACTGGAGACACTGAACATACATACTCATACTGTATCTCATTGTGAATGTGTTACTCTATGAACAATACAGGCTGGTGATTATTTTTCAGTACTAACAGGGTTCTTTCTGGGCAAAATCACACTTGTCCAGTTGGTTGGACAATAGATTGGACGCAGCGAGCTAGCTCCCATGCAAATGCGTGAGACGCGACGCTTGCTGCATGCGCACCACTCCAAAGTATATGACACGGCCGATGTGTCGCCATCAGGCATCTTATCCGCAAGCGGAGTAGGCGTCGTTGGTGCCTAAAGGCTATTGCGGTGTGGCAGGCAAGTGGCGGCATGCACGCGACACGCTTGTGCGCCAGCCGTCGGTTCCGCAGTGCGCAAGCCCAGCGCGCAGATCGCATATTGTCAATGTGGTTTGGCTATGTGTCCGTGTGAAACAGAGCTTTGAGAGCATTAGGTTAGGACATAAACGAGTGGGGTCCCGAGGGAAGTCCTGGTCCACACGAAGAGAGCACACGAGACAGAGGAAGAGGAAGAGAGAACGGATTCGTGATTGATTTGATCTCGGGCCGCGAGGTATCCGTATTAAAACTCCGCTAGGTATCCGAGTATTCTTAAAACTTTTTCTTGGGGAATCACTAGGGCTCCAATAATCATATAAAAATTACCCAAATGTACACATATGTTTTAAGCTTGTCATAAGATTTTATTGCGAGCTCTTGGTGATGTGGTTAGTATCTTTGGCGACTTATTTCAGTATCCGTTTTTGTGGCTGAGCAACCGGAAGCTCTCGCCAAATTTGACCAAACTTCTCCCCCTTTCGGGCGAGTATTTTAGTATCTTTATTCTTTATTTTTGTATTTCCACGCACCACCATCAGTATCGAGCCAGAGACAGGAATGTGAACAGACAAAGGAGGAAATTGTATAACTCCTTCAATAAATACTTTCTTTCAACTTGCTAATGCCCGTGAATTTATTCACGGGGTTAAGCTAGTCATATATTATATGGGTTTCTGCCGCATGGCTTAGGGAGAATAATAATGCACCCCAAGAGCTTTGACAAAGGGCTGCCATTCAATTTCACCACTGGCAAACAGACCTGTATGTGGCCAAGTGCGTTATCTTTTCATCCTCGGTAGCAGGGAACAGCAACTGGTTGATATTGTTAATCCACACCCAGCATAAGTACACCGCTCGTCGTGTCCGCTGTAGTTTAGTCGGTAGAATGGCGGGTCCAAAGCTAGCGCGGAGGACTCAAGTCAGCGGTTCGATTCCGCCCAGTGGCACCCTTTGGAGCCGGGCACCGCTCTGTGAAGCCGCGTCCGCGTGAAATTTCAGATGCGTTCTCCGAGTCCTTACACCTATTCTGGGTTTCGAAGCAGTGAATTTTTTTCCCTTTCCACCACAGAACTAAGCTGAGTGGACGCAAAGCTTTGTTCACAGCCTCCGAAGGGTAAGGTTGTCTCTTTTCGGGATTCATTATTCAAAAGACTCGTTTGTGATTGACGATCACACTGCCACTGATGTCGAAGGCGTTCTGTATGGGGATGCAATTCAACCCTTTTTATTCCGCGTTTGTGACTTGAAGAAAAAATATTTGCAGCTATCTTACAGTTAAGTGAAGTAACTGGGAACGGCATTTCAACTTGGCCCACCCAAATTCATGCAGGTGGCTGGAATTCCTGTCATGCCCTGAGAAGTACTGAAGTCTGAAGTAGAGCGTCAGAGTTTGATCCGAGGGATTCAAAAAAAATGAAAACTTCCAATTAAGCCCTCGACTACGAATATTTAAGAGCCGCCGTAAGGATGAGACCTCAAGCGCTCATACAAGAGGCGAGCGATCTCTGGATCGGACACACAGATCAACACACGTGATCAACCCCCCCCCTACCAAATTGGGAAGCACGCCCTCCGCGACTTGCCTCCCCAGTATCGGATACACAACACATAGTCTCATCCTATGGAGGTGCCCAGGGTCAGAAGCACTCTAAATGGCTTCAGAGAACTCTGAGTCTGCGCCGGGAGAAAGAAAACAAGAATCCAGCCACCGACAGCGAGCTAAATCAACACAACCTCATTCTTCTTCTTACCCATTATGTTGTCACCTCAGATCCTTGTAATGAAGTTGATATTTTTTGATTACTTGTGTACACCATACTATACATGAACCAGCTAAACCCAATATGTTTCTGCGGCCATGATTTGGAGGGCAATAGGGGATGAATTCTGGGTAAAAAATGAAATGCTAACCCCAAGATGGAGCAGGTAAGAGTTTAGGCTGTCTGCAACATGAGACGACACGTTGTGTGTCCGGTACTGGGGAGGCAAGTCGCGGAGGACGTGCTTCCCAATTTGGTAGGGGGGGGTTGATCACGTGTGTTGATCTGTGTGTCCGATCCAGAGATCGCTCGCCTCTTGCGCTCATAAATTGCAAGCGGTTGAGAGGGCCGATCAGGACACGAGGCCAG